TTTGGCTCCCAGTGAAAGTGCAGAATGAGATAGTTGAGCATATTCCTTATTCAGGCTGAAGCCGATCAGATGCTGTTTCACTCCTCTTTTTCCTTTGGCTTCAAGTTCCCTGGAAGTCTGTGCTGCTGCAATGTACACCTGTGACAGTTCCTCTGCATTTTTTTAAGGTTATGTAAAAAACCACATGGTTTGACTTTTATTTACTCTAATCTATTTCCCCAACCCCACCAAAATAAGGGAATAGCCAGTAGGATTTTTGGTGTACCCATAAGTACCTTTACAATTACTAGATTGCTGTAAGACGATTTTCTTGTAGCAGAGGGTGGAAGGCACAAAGGCCACCAGATCCTCAGCCAGTGTGGAGGTAGAGCCAAGGATTCAGCCACATGTCAAATTAAGCAAAGTCATTTTAGAACTACCTGTTTGTCAATGGCATCTGACCTCCTTATACCAGCTCCAAGGACTCAGCCTTTCCCTTCCTGAAAATAGAAGGTGGCATAGGGAACAAAACAAGTCACTGTGGGCAAACTAATGGGCATCAGTGTTTGCAGACATCCAACAATTAAATTTGGGTGGTTCAGTACATTCCTAATTAAGTACAATTAACATTTGTTCTTTACTTGTTCATTTTATATACCTCACTGACGTCCCAAATCTGGTTTCCCCAGATCATCTATCCAAGCACATCCTAATGATTCTGCCTTTCAATCCCTTATTAATACCCCCACACAAACAGCACAGAAATGCAATTAGACTGCTATGCACACATGGCCTGCCTCCTCTTTCACTGAAGCTGCTGGGAGTCTGGCCATGCACTGCCAATATGATAGCTTCAGTCTTTCTGTATCTCTGCAGAAGTTTCAGGGAGCACCTCAAGTTTTTTCCTCCCTGATACTTCATGTATTCAGCCCTCCATCTCCAATCCCACCATCAGGTGGTTTTACCACCAAGTAGAGTTCACACTGTAGTCAGGAGAGCAGAGAATCTTGTACCAATTTCCCCATCTACTTTGCTTTTGTAAGCAACTCCATAATACTGTTACTCACTTACTTTCTCTCAAGCAAACACACACACAGGAAGAAAAGAAAAAAAAAAAAAAAAAACAAACCCAAAAACCAAAAGCCAAAACCCACAGATTGATGGGATGGCAGGGTTATAAAATAAAAACGTAACTTTCAGTCTGAGGCTAAACAAAACTGATAGCTCAAGAGGAGGGAGGCAGCAAGGTGATGGGAGAGTTGAAATATCCGCGGTAAAATTCCAGTGTTGCAACTGTCTGCTGTTTCTGAAGGGCCAATCAGTCAAACTTTGGCAGAGGTTGGAGATCTCTCTCAAACTAACATAGAAATGTCCATAGAGAGAAACTGGCCCCAAACAACGCTGCACAGCTGCTGAGCTAGCCTGTGCTTCCAGTGAGCAATAGCAGTGTCTCACATGCCTTTCCTGGCAATTTCTGCCAGGTCAGTTTAAGATAAACAAAATCTACAGAAGAGATTCAGGTCAAGAACCATTAACATCAAGCACGTTCCCGGCATGCAGAGGCTTGTTCTGCAGGCTCAGAACTGATCTGTTTTGGGTGGACCCCAGCCTGCCTGGCTCTGGAGACCCTCAGCAATCCCTGCTGCTGCCTGCCCCCACACACCTCTGCTGACAACCCAGCCTGAGGCAATTTCAGGATGGATAGGATGGCTCCAGAGGGGTAGAAAAGAGGCTAAGGAGGCTGCTGGGCACTTCAGGACAAGTGTTCCACAGGGCTGTACTTTTCTGTGTCTACTGAACACCTGGAGGCTGCCCAGCGTGGGAATGGGTCTGCTACAGAGCAGCAGCATATGCTGCAGTAAGCTAGCCCTGGAAAAGCTGTTTCTCAGTCATTTAAGACAGACTAATTTTTTTTAATAATTAATTTTCATTTTAATTTGCATTGTGTTTTCTACTGTCTTTTGGCGGCCATTTCTAAATTTAATAGATCTACATAAGCTTAAAAACCCCAGAATATTGGTTTTTTGCCCTACACAGATTTCCTTGACTCTTCTATGTTTCCTTGTTTGGGTGAACATCAGAAGAGAATCTTTCCACCTACATATCTAGTTAGCTAACTAGCTAAAAAGGTTGAATAATGGCAAGAGTTAGAGTAAACAAAGTAATTGTAACAGAAAAGAAAGAACAGGGACATTTTAATGATGTTGGTCTTTCCACATTTCAAAAATTCACATTTGTTGAGCAATGTTACCAGTCTTTTATTGCTATTTACTACAAGGAAACTATGGAAATTATTTAATTTGGCCGGTCTCCTGTTACTGGCCTGAGTGAAGTAGAGAGAAGAGTTATGCAAATTGATTGCATCAATGAGAAAGCATTAAACTATATCTGCATTTAAAAGCAATGGAATTCATTGAGGTATTTTTAGATTTTTGTAACTGAAATACTGCTTGGAAAATAAAGTGAAAGAAGTGTCCACACAACCTAATAGCTGCTATTAAAGGAGGCCATGGACAACAGTCCTTCAAAAATAAAAGCATCTAAGTTAGGCAGTCAGTCCCCAGCTAGCAGAGACGGTGCTCACAGGGTGTGAAGTTAAGCACACATATAAAGAAATATTGCAGCAAACAGATCTTGGAGCCAGCAGTGCCCTGCAAAGTCTTTGCAGTAACAGCATTTTTTTGTCAGAGTGCACACTCTGTCCTATGACATGGGACTTGGGAATTTCCTGAGAATCTCTACTACCTCACACTGAAGGGTAACCTGTGGGGGTTCATTGCTTAAAGTACCTGGTACATCTGTGTACAGAAACAAGCACTGCCTGACCACAAATAGAGCAACATTTTAGTATTGGAAACCTGACGTTGGGCAGATAAATATAAAAAAGTGCAGTAATGGCAGAACAAGATATGTTTCTTACCTCCTGCACAAGGTACACACACATTAAATCTCTTGTTTAGGCAAACCTCCCATCACACAAAGAGGGAAGTATATTAAACAGGTGGGATTAAAGGGTTTTCCAGTTCTTCAGGGAGAACACCTGAACAGACATCAGCTTGAGCAAGGTGTGCCAGCTGCTGAGGTACTCCACTCTGCTCCCTTCCAGGAGCAGGATGCAAAATGTAATTACTCAGGTATTTCTGTCTTTCTGCAATAGTTAATTGTCATATTATTCAGAGGGAATCATCCCACTCCTTTTAAGCAAAGCCTTAGAAATAGTGTTCTCCAGGATACTTCTTCAATGAGTACTTAAAGGAGAAGGAAGGGGAGAGGGTTAAAGGGAATCATCACAGAACAATTATGAAGGTAATTTGGAAGCCAGTCTGGAAACAACATTGTAACAGAGCCAATAGCTGATTCAAATTGTTACGTTTCTCCTTTGATCACCTGCTCAAACACACTCCCAATTAGCACTTATTGGAGTCTACAATTCAGCACATTACTGAACACCTGCACACAAATGTCAGTTCCTCTTCTGAAGACTCGCTGTCCTGTGCTGGAGTGCAAACCTGTGCTTCTAACAGAAGGAAATAGCTGACAAAAGATGAGCACCGCCTCAGCTCCCAAGGAAGAACCAACTGTTTCTTCAGTCCTGCACTGGATTTCAATCCAGAGTATTCATAGCTGTAAAACTCTTGAAAGAAACTAAAATACTTAAAATTTTTGTATATGCCTTTCTCAAGGTTTCTTTAGTTAAAAGATGTTGTGGTTTCTCTTTTCTTACATCTATTTGCAAAAATAAGTTTTGCAACTTGTCACTGTAAGGTAGCACACCAGACAGAGGAGATGCAGCTCTCACCTGTCCGTGAAATGGAGAATTTCAGGTAATAACTATTCCGGCAAGAGGAGAGATTGCTAGTGCCACCTCTTGGTGAGAAGGGCACAGAAAGAAGCCATCAGCATAATCCCAAGGACATAGCGGGAAAAATAACTTCTGCTTCTAGGCAGTGCTGACCACTCTCTCACTGATATCAAAGCACTGATATCTTAGTTTGAGATGTTTAGTATTGAGACACTCAGTATTGAGATGCCCTATTTAGTTGAAGAACCTGTCTTGTACCCTTGCAATTAAGCATGTACTTAAATATTTGCCTGGTGCTAAATCCCAGTTCTATGAAAGCGTTAAACAAGTGAAATCCTGTGGAGTGTGATTATTCTTCAACTGAAACTGAGAAAATGTTGTGTGTTAAACTTGTCAGGTTTTTAAATATCTTGCTTGATTGAGCTGTGATCCAAGTACCTTGCCTGTTTGAACCCTCCAATAGCAACTTAATGATAATGCTGTTGTGGAGGTTGAGTGTTAATCATTAAGTTTGTGTCAGATCTCATGATGCAGGATGGGCTGTGGATAAGTGAGTCAACACAAGCTCCTAATTATAAGAAATAGAGTTTAAAAAAAGCTGAAATGTAAAAAGAGGATTACTTGAGCACCACATCAGCATCAAGTAAGCTTGTGGAGTGCCATTTATTCTTTATCCTTTTAAAATATCATCTGGAGAATGGTGGGCACATTTAGCTTGCTGAACTGAATCTGTGAATAAACATATCACAGGACAGATCTGATCTTCATAATGGAAGAAGTTTCTAAGATGTTTTCTGTTGATTTCAAAAGAAACCACGCATAGGAGTCACTGTGTGTAGAGAAGAGCATGGAGGAAACCTCCATGTGAAAGCGTGTGAACTTTGCAAGACACTGTCTTCTCTCATGAAAATGCAGAAGCAATTATCACTTCTGGACTAATATTGCATGCATGAATAGTTGTGAACTGTAAATAAACCCAAATAGCAACACCAAATAACCACTCTGGCTTCCATTTTCAAATAATGATGGAGAAAAAGTTGCGTTGTGACTACATGTCCACCAAAAAATATATCAATAAAAAATTGACAATTTTTATTAACTAAGCAATGTTTACAGTAAGCTTTACTCTTACAAAAAAAAAAAAAATAGGTATAATAGTAAAAGAAGACGTACTAAATGAAAGAAGACGTACTAAATGAAAGTAAAGATGTTGTCCTACCTTGTTTTAGAATGGTTTTGTTTACAGGGATACCACATCCATGTAATTTTAGGTGGAGGAATACCATACACAGTGCATGTCAGCACTTGTTTGCTGCCTAGTAAATGCAGATTGGGATCAGGGAATGATGACACGGCCTTTTCGTATATCTGCGGTTTCACTGGAAAGGGCAAAAATTGGAAAGCTATTAAAACCGGCTTAATTCCAACATATTGCATGATTATAAAGATACTACATTCTTGTAGTGTGAGTAACAAGAAAAATCCCCAGGAGAACAAAAGAAAACAGTCCTAAGTCATACAAGTGGTTAGTAACACATTTAAGTCATCAGGAGCAAGTATGTGGCTGCAGAGGACAGAAACACTTCTAATGAAAACCAGCATCCATCTTCTGGTTCAAAGATGGATCCTTCACCCTGCATGTGAGGCTTGAGTTTGGGTCCATGAAGTCAGTCAGAAGAGCCACAATGCCCTGATGTGTGCAGGATTGGTGACAATCCAGCTCAGAGAAAACTGAGCACTTACGTGTTCAGGAGAAGCAAGGGAACATGTTGCAAACTTACCATTTACAGTAAGAGTGACTGTAAGATTCTTTGACAAGTTCCACTGTGGAATGCTCAGTATTATGGTGTAGTTTCCAGCATCCTCCTCAGCAACATCCTTGATGACTAAGGAATAGTCTTTAACCACGTAGCGGGCACATTTCTCAGCAGCAGGTAGCCCATCTTTTAACCTGTTTCATGGAATTCCAGAAATCAAAATTCTGAAAATCATTTCTTCTTAAACCACCCATGTTACATCATATCCCTCAATCTTTTGGGAAGGGATTGGATTTCCAGTCTGAGATTCTGTTTACCACAGGCTTGTCCTTTCCATTCAAATAAGATTGCTGATATTTGTAAACCACTTTAGAGAATACTATTCTATATATTAAAATTTATAAGAATCTGACTCTTGGGGCTCTATGGTATTTGAGAGTTGCTGAAAATTCCAACTCTGTCTCTGAAGATCCCAGTTGTTCATGGCTGTGACCTCCATTTAGTCTAAAAAACAGCCATTTTGGCTAAGGGTGGGTCACAGAAATAAAGGTTGCATCATCTTGCACTGGTCATTTCTCTATGACCTCAGAATACATCCTGGGACAAAGTATTACAGTACTCCAAGCACAGCTGTGATTTTAGGAAGAGGAAGAGTAAGTAGATTAGATAAGCACTTAAGAATCAGATATCCTGCTATCAAGAGAATGTTTTTAAAGATAACAGAAAATCAATGTAGAAAGTACTTACTGTTGCTCACACACAGATCCCTGAAGCAAAATATTTTTCTTCAAAGTCTAAACTACATTGTAAAGTGCATTTTAACAAGTTGCAAGAAGGTTAACATGATGTTAGTAGAAGGGTGCAACATATATTCATTATGATGATGGATTTTATCTAAATGATTCACAAATTTTAGTAAGTTTTTAGAAAAAACTCTTACTCTGATTAGATGAGCACTAAAATTTGGTCAAAGGACTCATGGATTTAGGCATTTCACTGTTTGTGCATTTTACAGAATGACAAAACAGCTGCAGCTGAAAAAGCCTTTGGAAGTCATTTAGTCTAATGCGCTGTACAAAGCAGTGCCAGAAGATTGCCCAAGACCATTTTCAGTATGGTTTTGTGTATCTCCAAGAATGGATACTCCACCACCACTCTGGACTATTTATTCCAATGTTTGACCAACCTCAACTTTAAATTTAAAAAAAATTAAAATTTGTTCCAATGTTTGACATTTTTTTTGTTCGGAAGCTTTGAATCTGTATGTGTAGTCAATAAACTCAAACACTGGAAGAACAGAAAATTATGTATAAATGGCTGGCACCAGTGTCACATTCACCCCTCAGTTTTCCACATGAAGCCATAAGTAAAACAAGACAACACTTTTGGAGCAAAATTAATTCCTGGCTGTAACATGTACTCCCACTATTCATGTATGTATAGCTTTTGTTCTTAATCAGTCTTGTCATGGACCCTTTGTTAAAGTCCAATTAATTGAGCCAGAGTTACTGGTGTTTTAAACAATTTAAAAGAAAAAATCCTTGAGATCATGAATAGATAACATTGTTGCATATGAAAGTGGATTGGATTAATTAAAAAAACTCTTCCAAAAATTTCTTAACACAATTTACACATGACAAAATGAATGATCCAGTGAATGCTGTGCCTGCAGATCACAGCTCTACAACCTGCAGATCACTGCATAACAATACCAACTTCCATTTTTTGCAATAGTGCAAGTCTGTATGACTCAAGTCAGTAATTTATTTTAATGAAAGCCTTCTTTTCTTTCTCTTACTGTCTGAAAAGCAAGTTCAGGTTTCATATCTAAGTCTGAGCAAAGCTGGATGCAACACTGCAGTCAAAGCTGGTAGAGATATTTAGCTATGAAGCATCCATTGATTTCAAGAGGAGACATATCCAACCTATTTGAGGATCTTTAAACTTTCCATATCTCCTTTCTTGCACTTGTGAAAGGGAAGTAATGTTCTCAGAACCCCAGGCAGCTCTGAAACTTCAAAAAGACCCTCCCCAACTCTATTATAAAAAGAGGTCCAAGATGAACATGTGGAAGTAACTGTAGTCCTACCATATAACCTCTGGAGAGGGAAATGCCTTCACTTTCATTGACAAACGATAGGATTTTCTTCCAGCTACAGCCTCCAGCGCAGTTTTTCTTCGACGTTTCAAATTAATGAACATTTTATCTTAAACACAATAAAAACAGAGCTTTGCATTACTGATTTTCACCCTGCAAAATGAGTATCTCTACTAAAGAAAATGTGACTCCAAATAAAAATTATCTTTACAAATTTTGATGCTCCCACATGTTAACAGCAAGAATAGAGCCTAATCTCCTAGAGATCTATAAAATATAAAGGAATACCATAAATATACATAAAGAAACTGAGAGGCAGTTCCCAGGGCATGAATCTGCTTGGAGAAGATACACTCTAGCCAAATTCACATTGTGTCCAGCCAGAAAAAATGGCACAAGATATAAAGTGGTCTGTAGTATGTGGGAGGCTGAACTGAGGACGATCAGATGACCTTTCCACTCTTACAGACCAAGGATCAATGAATGTTCCAAAAGAAAATATTTTTCCAGAGACGATTTAAGGGACCTTCAGAGAAATAGCAAAGGAAAAGGCAGAAACTTTCTGTATCATTGGTGAACAGCTGTTTCATCAAACCAACAAATCTTTGTCACTTCACTGGAATAATAACAACCTGCTGGAATTTGTTCTTATCCATTTTCTCGGCCCCCTGTCTCCAACTCTCTGCCAAGTTGATGGCTTTTCCAAGAGGCAATAAAATTCATACAATACGTTGGAAAATATCTCTTTCTCCCCTGCCAGCTTGTGCAAAATAAAATATTCAAAGTATAAGAAATGTTTAAGTGTCCTTTTGATGGTACCTGGGGTACAATTTTTACTCACATTATGAACTGCGTAAGGATGATGGACATCCATTAAACAAGTTCAACATTTAATCACACCTACCACATACATTGAAAATAATATGCACAAGACAAATAAGTAATTTCATTACACAAGTCAAGTTATAAAGATACAGCCCTGATTCTGCAAACCTTTATTCATACAGTCTCTTTCTAATATGGGTATCCTATAGATGGGGCTGCTTATGTGAATGCCGGCTGACTTCAACAGTCCCAGCTTCTCTGACTCTAATTTTAATCTCCAACTTCTCCGATTTAAATTATAATCTAAACCTCTGTTTCTGAAAGCTGCAGTTTATCTGTTTAAGATATAGTAAGAGGTTATCATGATTCATCCTATGTTCCCAGTGCCTTATTTCAGAACTTAAATTCTATAGAAAATGGGCTGAAATTTCTCTCTGAGAATACCAACACGGAGTGCTTAGTCCACACTTCCAGATACGAAAGGAAAGATACACTGCTGAAAATATGTAATAAATCCATATTCTGACCATGAGTCATCTGTTGTAGAGGACACCCACCAGCCACTTGGCCTTAACACCAATGGTGCTCCAAAGATCCTGGCTAGTTCTAATTGTAACAGGGTGTCCCAAAGAAGGTCACTTCCCAAGAGACCCAATGCAAAAAAAGTCCTTGTTCATATGCATTTGAAATAATATCAGAAATTTCCAGATTTCACAGAAGGCCCAGACAAACCATAGGGAACTTGATCAAGAGTCCTGTTGTAAAACCACATTAATGATTTGCATTTTTTGAATGGGCTACCAGCTACCAGCTCCATGTAGAGTTAGGGTATTTATTGTTTATTTTTTTCATAGAAATGCATAAGTACCATAGAATCAGAAGTGTCATTCTTCTATTTAAATTATGCTTGTACCTTCTTTTTTCCCCCAAACTAGAATTTGCCTGATTGTATCTCCTAGAACTGACTGAGGACAGCTCCATCACAATATTTAGCAGACAAAAGTGATGAAATTGAACATTAACAGGTGCATTGCCAGCAGTAGAAAACAGTCATGGAGAAAATAGCACAGGTTTTCCCTCCTGGAGCCTCATTCCCTCGTTTCCCTTTTTCTGTACGCGATGGCTCCCACCTTGTGTCACAATGTAAAACTATCACACAGCTGACCTTGGTGCAGGAACACTGAATAACCCCCAAGTGTGCACCACTTCTTACCATAGACAATGACAGTTGTGTTGACAGCCTTGATGGACGGCCCGCTCTTCACGTGGCAGGTGTACTGGCCTTTATCGACGTCCCGCACTCTATCCACAACGAGGATGCTGTAAAAAATGTTGGCCTCTGAATTCTTCTGGTCAATACGCTGCGTTACAGAACCTCTTCTCCTTGTCTATAAGGGCCAAAGAAATGAACAAGAAAGAGTTTGATCAAACCAATTTTCAGGAGTATTTCCTGAGATTTTTATTTTCCTGTACTGTCACCATAACTTAATTAAAAAAATCCCAGATGTCTTTGTACAGCACAGATAAGCAAAAGACCCGTAACATTTCCAGAGGGTCGACAGTAAAAAAATATAAGCAACCTTACAGGGAAATTCATCCCTGTCTTCAACCAAGGTGTCATGGCATCCAAATTAGTACTTTTATAAAGGGAGGAAGATCCTCCCTTTTGTATAGCCTGTCATATCAACATGCCCAGCTCCCCATTGCCATTGTCCAGCACTGCTCCTAAAAATCCCTGAAGCCATGATATATCCAGGCACATAATTTGATGCCTGGATTCAGTGCCATAGGGAACAGATACGCAGAAGAAAAGGACATTTACACAAGGAGGGGAGAATTCTGGAAATGCTACAGACGGAAAAGGGACTAGATTTGGCAAGGGAATAACAGGGTGGAACTGAAGATAATGTGACTCTGAGGAGTTATTTCCTGCAACTCCCCCTCAGGATTTGGCCTCAAAGTTTATTTAACCCAGGACATTGTTGATGTCTTATAAACACTGAGCACCCTTCAGTTACCATCTAAATAAAAACAAAGCACAATTTCACAAGTGTGGTGCCCAGATAGGGCTTGGTAGGGCAGCAACAAGCAATATAATATATTTGAAGCATTTCTTGTTGCTAAGTTGTTTATTTCTGAGGTGAAGAAATGCCAGGGAAAATGGCTACAGTAAGCAATAAACAATTGCATTAATCTTCCCTGTATAATGCAATCATAATTTCAGCCTGTGATTAGATACAATGAGTGACACAATAAATGATCTTGACTTGAATCACCAGCATAAATCAAACTGACATGAAAGGAATGGGAGTTGTAAACCTTAAGCTAATGTCAAATTTCTTATCAGTTTTACACGGACTCCCTGGCAGTTATTCTGTAAGTGACAAATATTTATGGGGATGCTCCCAATGTGGGGGGTGGAGAAGCACATTCAAGATCATTCCTGTAGTTGTCAAAACAAGAGGATTGTTCATGTGACACTTAACAAATGAGATTTTGCTAGCTAAATCAAAATACCTTTTCCAAACATGTTTAAATCGGGTGCCTGACTGTCTGCCAGTCTTTGGAATGAATGTGTCGAGAAGACAGCCTCACTGAAAACTTTTTTGTCGCAAGAGAGAGCCCCTGCCTGGGATGGGGTGATAAATTTCGCTTGTTCCATCAGGTCGAAAAGAAGCTCCCAGAGATGAAACAAATCTAGCGTTTGCTTGTGATTATGCAATATAACCAGAGCAAATTGTGTAAACATGTTTACTTATGAAATTAGGCATCAGAGGGAAAAAAAAAGAAACCTTAAGAGACATGTCAGCAAGGGTCAAAATGATGGAATGCAAACAATGGCAAGCATTCCGAAGCAGAATTCCTCCCGGGATGCTGGATGCAGCATGATCTGTGGGAAACCTCTGGTTTCTGCCTTCCAGCCACAGCACTCACCTCTCCAGGGTAAGTCCATGTCATCTGCACTCTGGTGTTCCAGGCTGCAGTGACAGTGCAGTTAATTGCTAGGCTGTCTCCCTTCAGCAGCTTGACGAGACGCGGGGTGCTTAACTGAACATCAAAAATGGTGTTGGCTGCACGTGGCAAAGAGGGAGAGCGATTAGTGATGCAGCAGGGCAGGGTGCTTTCTGGGAGGCAGGGGGTGGAGAATGCCACCTACTTTCTCTGTGCGTCAGGTACTTGGTGCTGTACGTGTGCCCAGCGACGGTTGTCTCGCAGCTCAGGAGCCCGATGAATTTGTACGTTGCCTTAGGTATTCTGAAGCCTTGCATGCTGTCCCAGATTATTGTCTTGCCATCAGGGATTAGGGTTTCTCGTGGAATCTGGAAGTGCCAAACACACGTCAGAAAAACAGCTCATCCTCGTGTCTACCCTCTAATCAAAATAGCCCAGTAAAAAGGGGATGGGGAAGAAAGCACCCAAAAAAATGCCAATCAACGTGAAAAGAATGACATTTAATAATGTGGGTTTTTCAAGTCACATTTTCATCACAAAATAGAGGAAAAACCTGTGTGAAGAATACGAATGTTGCATTTGTTTCCAGGATTTCATTATTTATAACAGGATGTAATTTATGACACAATAGATTGACACTACCATTAGTTTCAGCAGTTGGGCTGCTATTCTGTTGGCTCCTGGTTGGCAGCTAAAGGGCTCATCTCCAGGAACCTTTGCAATTAAGTATCCTGGTTCCAACACAGAGAAACAAATACACACTTTTCAATGGAGATGACAAATGGGCTTAATTTGCTGTCATTTTGTGGCTTTAAGAAATTCCTACCAGGATTCAATCCATGCATTTCGTATTTATTTTGCCTAAAAGACTTAAAAAGCAAACAAAAAAATTATTGCCATGTGGGATCAAACGTTCATTTTGTCAGCACTACAAGTTAACTTTTATATTATGATCCTTTACACTTTAAGCCCCATTTTAATAAGATATCAAGGAAAACCTGAAGGAGTAGAGCCTAACACAGCCATTGGATCTCAGACAAAACCTCTCATTTTCAGATCATGCTATTTTGTTATACCTTATTGATGGAATAAATGCCACCATTTGGATGGCACAGATATCAGCCGTGAGTACAAAGCCTGAATATGACTCTACTTTGAATAACACCTGTTTTAAGAGTAAAAATAAGATATTTTTCAAGACGGCACAGAGCAGAGTTTAAATGAATTATGGTCATAAGGAAAGATCCCTGGATCAACTAAGCACCTTGCAGCCCTTCACTTCCCACTGTGCACCAGTCTCACTGTGTCCCTTCATCTCTTTCTTCCCCTTTATTTGAGCAGAGGACTTGTGTGCTGAACAGCCCTTTCCCTCCCACAAGCAGAGCCATCATGGGTGGCTGTCAGAGGCTGGGGGAAGCAGAATGAAGTCTGTCTCCCTCCCAAGGGGTACAGCTGCTCCCTACAACGTGCCACCCTCGATGCTGCCTGTGCAGAAAGACACCCCTGAGATCACACTCACTCATCTCATGCCACTTCCTCCAAAACAACCAAGTTCGAGATGAATCGAATGAGCAATAAATACAAAGCACAAAATGACGTGGTAGAATTCCTTATCTTTACAACAGCTGATAAGATGCTATAATAAGCATGCAAATCACAGGGAAGTGTGTGTAGCACACACACAAGTAAAGCCCATTATGTTACAGCCTGCTGGCTACCATTCAACAATATCTTGGTCCCTATGAGCTCTGTTGCAATTCCTGTTCTAAACAAAATGCATTTTCAACTTTGGTGTAACTAGTTAATAGTTATGTTTTCATAAGCTTCAATCAGATTTATCCTTTCCCTGCTTCAGTGAAAATCAAACTATTTCTGAACATATTTCTGTACATGTTTTCAGGAAGAAAGTGAAGCCAGAGAGTGAGAGCTTTCCTAGACTAGCATTTCCCACAGAATTCATTCACTGCACATTTATTACTTAATTGATGTATTACTGACTTTGTATTAGCCTTACTCCAGGAATACAAAAGTAACCAAAACACCCAGAAGAGTCCTATTTTGCAGCTTGTAATTTTGTGAGTTGTCTGAATGTCCACTAGGCTTACTTATCCTGGAGGCAAATCTTTGCCTGTACAGTTTACTCATCTGACACTCCTCAAAACCACTAGAGCCACATCTTTTTTGTATAATTCTTTTGCACCTCTGAGACTAAGTTACACCAGTCACCTGTGAAAGCATAACACAACACTAAGTTACGAGAAGGAAAACTTCAGAAAACTGAAGTCACCATGCTGATCACTGCCTGGACGGTACAAGACAGAGGATCCGAGAATAACACAATAAGAATAACAAAATAATTTAGGTTGGAAGGGTCATCTGGTCCTGCCCCTATGCAGAGCATGACCAGTGTAGTTCAAGGCCTTGCCAAAAACCTTGGCCATTTGGTCATCACAGAGAGAAGTAGAAAACCTATGAAGAAACATCGTGCTATAAGAGCGAGGCTCCCACTGAAGCAGCAGAAGATAAATTCAGCCACAATAATAGCTTTCAGATGGGAACCAACAGTGAGTCAGAGGCATTCAAAGAATCAGCTTGTTGCGACGGCTGCAGTAAACATGGAATTTATTGTCTACATACTAATCTGTGTGAACCCTATCACTGTGGCTCCCAGTGCATTCTTGGCCTTTTACCTTCTTTGTACTTCGTTTCAAATGCAACTATTTTTGGTATAGGCTGTGCCTCCTTCTTTGCTCCATCTTTGCTGAATGCTTTTGGTACCTGGTGGTATTAACACAGTACAGCCACATACTGTGTATGTACATATGGTCAAGAGTTATAGTCAAGCTGTGGTTCCCCACATCTCCAGAGGCAGATTGTGTTGGAAAGAGACAACTAAAAGTTTAATTAAAATGTACATTAGCTTCTCGAATGTTTGGCTTTTCTTTCATGTTTCCCCTTCCACCAACTTGGGAAGGATGAGGTGGCATTATTAAGAATTCAGATTGTCTGCGTATGTGATTCACAAAATCCCTTGGGGTTTTTTGCATTTTTTATTCCTTGTACTGAAGCTTATTTACTTCTATTCCTATGAATGTCATTGTTTTTATGATGGAGAATCCAAAAGGATTCTTGGAAAACAGATGGATTAAATAATCGTATCGAAAGGTGATACTTTCTTCACTTATCAAGATAAGAACAAACAAAGAGGTAAGAGAAGTGCACAGCTTACTTGCAATAAGGTTTATCTTATTTTATGGATCCTGAATGAGGCTGCAAGAATCATGTTGATAGGAATGATGGTTTCAGAGGCTCTGAATATCTAACTATTAAGCATTAGATCAAAACTATGAATTAATTTCACAGTACTTCATATGATAAGGAAAAGGCCATCAGCTCCTGCAGATAAAGGTTATATTAGGACCTGAAGGTTGAATTTGAAATATGAATTAAAAGCTTCCTCCCCTTTTCCCAGTCTATGTTCTATTAGCTTCTTGATTTTTGAAGACCCCTCTCCTATGTTGTATGTGATTGTGATGCCATAAAATACAATCTGCACAGATGTTCAGCCTGAAAATGAAAGCAACACAGTATCTGAAAAGGTTGACTAAAGTAAAGATGAAGTTTGAGTAAAAAAATAGTTTGTAGTTTTGAAGACGGATAATAAACCTTTCCCATATTGGTCCACTAAGAAGTAGCACTGCAAAGAAACAAACGCTGGAGGCAGTGTTCATGCAACTGTAGGGATTCCTTCCAGAAGAGAGAGATTATTAAAAATATTTTGTATTTTTACTTCCTGGCAATGTAGAAGGCAGAACCTACTGACACAAAAGCTGGTATTTTCTTTCCAGTTCCAGTGGACTGCTTTATGAGGACACCAAATTCTTCCTTTATCACTAATGGAAAACACAAAATAGCTCTTGTCATTTCTCTAGCAGTAGTGTGCCTGCAGCTGTGGAATGCATTTAACACATCTCTTAATTGCCCTGTGAGTAAAACTGTGTTGGAATCTTCATATAAGGCTGTCATAGAAGATAAATAAAGTAAGATATGATGTAATGCATTGTAGCTTACATGCTTCAGGAAATTCTAGGATTAATTAGGGAACACATTTATTTTTCCTGGAATGCAAAACATGTAAGCAACCAATCCTTTCTTTCAAGGCTTGGCTTTACCTCCTCCTTCTCCTTCGGAGAATCTTACATCTGGTTTTGATGGTGTAAAGCTGTGCCTTACACTACAAGCCCAAGCTAAAGGCAAATTGATATTAAAAAAAAAAAAAAAGAGCAGCAACATTTCAATCTTCTACAAATAAGGAGATTTTTTTTTAATATTGTTTAATGACAGAAATCTGACAGGAATTTTCTCAACTAGAAATCTAATATGCTGAGATTCCAGATGCAACACTACAGTGCCCAAATAAATTCCCACTTTACAACTCCCCTTCTATGGAATGCTACATCTCGCTTTTGATTCCCTTGCCACACAACCTGTGCATTTTCTTGCAAGAGAACTGTATGTATGTGTGTACCTACACAGACAGGGTAATGTCCTGGGTCAGATCATTTTCTTTTCTTTGCATTTTGTTCTCTTGCATGGAATTTAACAGGTTAAAACCAAGCAGATCTGTATTAGCAAAGCAGCACTTGAAAGAATTGATGAAACTTGAGGTTCGTGTAAAGCTCTACAGTCAAAGAATAATCAAAGACTTATGCTGCACTAGATAAGTACCTTACGGTGGTATTGTTCGTCAATTGCACATTATTCTTTAAAGAGACAAACCTCCTTTCCTTTTAACAGTGATGAACTTTCATTGTCACTATGTACATAACTCCCTTTATTTAGAAGTAAAACTTCTTTGCCACCTCCACCTAATTTTTCAGAAAAAAAAAAAAAAAGAGGTAACTTTGAAAAAATGCCCCATTCTCATACCCTTGATACCAGGGACTTTACTGCATACATATGGTTCAGTTAGCTGTCCATGTAACTCTTAAGGTATCTAGGAGACAAATGTTTTCCTAAAACATGGAAATATCTTTATTTTTCCTTTCTCTCTGAAACTAGCCCTACCACATCAAATGTTGCAGTTTCTCTGTAAAGTTTCCCCAGAAAGAAAAGCCATCCCTTGTCTAAGTGTGCTCACATGTCAAAGGAAGCAGCAAAGTCTCTGGTGGGAGTGAGGTAGGGCAAAGGCTTGCAAAGATCCTTGTACGACCACAGCAAGTCCCCAGGGACTCCCTGCCTGTTCCAGAGGACAGAAGAGGAAAAGGGAGGAAGGGCAGGGGAAGAAGTGGGAGGAAATCTCTTCTCCTAACAAGAAATTCCTTCCTGGGCTTAAGAAACCTTTGCCAGTGAGGATTTAATAAAGTACTATGAAAAGCTTAAGTTTCTTCAGAAAATTTCCACCCTTTTAGGAGATTTGATGAAGTCCTTCTGTGCGACTCAAATGAAGCCTCCAGGGTTGAAATATTTCTGAACACAATGACACCCAGAAACATTGCATAAGAAATATTAAATTGTCAAAATATTTCAAAAGCATTACAATAGCTGTAAACAAACAAACAAACAAAAACATCATCCACAGTAACACTTTCACAGCATGCTCAGATAGAGGTACCTTTTTTAAAGTAACAGCAATGTTTGGATCTGTGACTCTGCATGGAATGATCATTTCTCTTCCTACAGCCATGTTTATTATTTTAGGTATATCACTGTGCATCTCTACAAATGGATTGCTTGTATCTGCAAAAGAAGAAAAAATAAAGGTTAAAATGTGAAATCTTAAGGCACTGCATGGGAATTGTAACACTGCATACAGACTTAAAAAAACAGACTAACCCTGTCTGTAATGAAAGCTAAACAAAGTCCTTAAACCAATCTTCTGTTTACTTTTGTCTAAACATATTCATCAAACTATTAAGTATTTGAAGGTGTATGTATCATTCAATAACAGTATCAGTACTTTGAAATCTTCTTTAAATTTCAGGACAGTTGAAGCCCATTTTTCCATTACAGCAACACCTCTACTGCTGAGATATCTGCTTCTTATTTCATAACATTTGTATCTTTTTATCACCAGGAAAAGTAAATATATGGGAAGTGAGCTGAAATTCACGTATCAGGAACCCCCTATAAAGCACATCTTCCTGCTGTCTGCAAGGAAATTGATAGGAAAAATTCACACTGACTGCATCAGGAGAAAGAATCTACCATGATTATCCAGACATTTTTTCACCTCCGAGCATATGGACTAGAGAGAGTTAATTCTTCTCCTCCTTCCCACTATCACAATACCTATGTGTCTCTTTTTTATGTGACAAGGTAAATGAAAATGCCAGGAAAACATTAATTCCTCTGGAATCAAAGCTAAAGCTTGGCAGAGTAATTTACCGTCCCTTGAACAATCCCTTTAACAAAGGGCATTGTCATAAATAGCTTGCGCTGGGAACAGGGAACATTGCTGCTGCTATTGTTTGGGCCACTTAACAAAGAGGGGCTTAAGCCACAGGCTCTGGCTCCAAATCTTCTTTGCAGGTGTTCAGATCTGAAGTTTCAGTTTGACTCGCATTGCAGATAGACTACCTCCAAATTCACTTAAGGTTTGGTTTTTAACTCCTAAAAAAAGCAGAACATTAAGATCTTAATTCTGTGCTTATCTACAGCTCTAATGTTTTTTCAGGCAAATCCCATTATTTTCACTCAGTCAAAAATCCTAGAAATAACAACGGAAATCTTTCTTGGATAAGAAATTAGTAAAGTTAGCAAGAAGCAATCCCTTATAAAACCTCAAACTGTAACACTTGATTTAAGTGTTCTGGCCCCAAACTTCTGCGTGTTGACCTGTGTTCATTCGAGCAGTTCTTCAAGTAAGTTACTTTTGCTTGTCTTTCAAAAGTATGATATGCACTTCCCAGGGTCATCAAACTGTTCTGCCCTTAGGATCCTCTTTTCTTACTATGTGCAATAATATTTTTGTTTGAGACATCAAACAGGAAGAGAAATGCATTCTGCTCTAATTTATACCAGTGAGAATCCTAAGGCAGAAGATCTCAAATGTACTCCAGGATACACAAAAATCCTTGCTAAAGCGGTTTAATGAAACTTATACAAACTTTCTGAAATGAAACCCACAAAGTATTATTTAATAGTAGGTATTAAACATCCACTGAGATAGCGAAAGGAACTTATGAGTAATAGAGGATGCATATGTAATAAAAAATGCCCTGAGGACTTGTTAGGCTGACATTTCCTCTGCAGGACGATTCAAGGAAAGACCAAGAATGAACCTGTTTGTAGCACAGGGAAAAGAACCTTTTTTGTTTCAGGGACTGCAGCACAGAAGAGGTCACCTGCCCCTTAACATCACCAGACAAACCGATTTACTACTCCCCAAAGACTCGTTTGTCTTTGTCACAAAATTAAGAGCTTCTGCCCAAAACCAGCAAGCTTTGCAAAGTGGTTTCCTGTACCATAATCTCCAGATCATTGTAAGTGTGGGGAAGAGCTGTTCTGGGGACTGCCGGTGCTGTCTGCAGACAGTGTCACCACTGACTGATGCCAGTATTGAGGCAGTGGGGGCTGTGCAGCTCAGACCTCGCAGGATTCCTGCCGGGCCAGGAAACCAGCATAAAACACCATGTTTTCCTTCTTCTTCTTCAGTGGAAATGCACGTCCACACCTGAAGAAGCCAACAAAGAGCTGTACGAGAGCAGCTGACACACCCTGGTTGCCCTTGGCGGGCTCCAAGGAGCTCCCGTGGTGCCCTCCGTGCGGTGTGCGCCAAGGCGTCGCCGTGCCCCCGCTATTCGCGTGCAGAGCTCCCATTGACATCACCGGGGACTTCCGCCTTGGGCCAGAGGGCAATTGATGGCCCCGAGTGCTCCAAATGTCTTCCTGCTTTTGATTAAAAGGAATACGCATCATGTTTCCTAAGCACAGTTTTGTTTTCATAATGAGCATGGAGGCTCTTCCTGGTTCCCTTTGATTTTATTCTTCTTCCATCGTAAAGGCCCTAACGGGATACTCTTGGTGTCTCAAGATCAGAATCTGGTGCAGACTTTACCAGCCTGGATCAGGCAAAGCTGAACACACACCAGCGCCAGGGCAGCTTATGCCACCTTGGCAGGGTTTGCCAACAACATGGAATTCTTCTGTCCCCCAGGCAATAGCTCTCCTTGCCTTTTCTTTTCCTCTTTCCTTCCCATCACAACCCCAGCTACTGCCATTAGCTCCCACTACATTCCTTCTCAATTTCTTCCTGAGGGGAGATAAATGAACCTTCCCCACATAGCTGGTTAGCAGCACATCTGGCATGACTTAATTTCCCACCAGCGTCGTTTGAGCCAGTTTCACTCAATTCTATGTCCATAAAGTCCTAGATGTGAAAGGAACATCACAGACTGACCTATTTTGAAGACCACATCCAGGTTACACATTCGGCTTCATTGGGATTTGGAATGAAGATCTAAGGGGTTGACCTTGTTTTTATGAATTATTGATTTGGGTTGTTGTTTTATTTGTTGGGTTTTTCCCTTCAGACCTGCCTGTGAGGTTAGAAAAATGAAAGCTGGATAGCCAGAATACTTACGCATGTTAAAGGTTACTTAAAAATCAGTTTAGTGTATTTTTAAATTATACCTAGAATGAATGACTGTGCGCTGGGTTGACTGTGTGCCTTACAATATCTCTCAGTTACAATCAACATGAAACCACAAAGAGCACTCATGAAATCACAAAATCCATGAAGGTCATTTGCTATATTGTTAAAGAGCATAAATAGCAGCTTTTTTGCTAAGCTGGTTGGCAGCCAGATAAAAACGTGATAAGAGACTTAGCACAAGCAATATTATGTCTGGTATCAGTAACCTGTCTAGGCTATTTATGGGGTTTGCACAAACAACTAAATTAGCCAACACTGAAATGCCAAATTCAGAAACAGTGGAGAGGGTTTTTCTTTCCACAAGCTTCAGCTACTGTTCTTGGGTTTGTTTTGTTTTTAATAATCTGAGCTATGTAAGTCAGAGGACTTACATATACACTTGCAAGAAGAAAAGTCTCTGCAGGAAAATCTAAGCTCCTTGAAATCTCTAAAAGCTTATCCTCTGAAGTTCTTCCAAAACACCTGCTTATACTTGGCTCATCCTTAAGATTCTTTTCAGGCTAAAAGAGGTGAAATATTTTCATCACATTCACATAACACCCTTTTCCCTTGTCCATGTGAAAAGGACCATAGTCTTTAGTAAAGAACTGGCATGCAGACTTCATTGAAGTTCATGGGCCAACTGCCACATTCCCTTTCTATTGAGGGGATTAAACCTCCTTAACTTTATTTATCCCAGATAAATTATTGGGGCTGTTCAGAAGTAATTCCAAAAGAATCTTGCACACTGAGAGTCATTCCAGCCTCCCTTGCACATCTACAATACAGACATTTCTCACTGAGCTAGGAGCCAAACCACTGGTGCTGTCCCTGGTGAGAAAAGGGGAATTTTGCAACAGGACTCATCTGACCTGTTTTAGACATCTGCTTTACCATGAGGTGAATCATGCCCTAGGAAATGTGTCTGTTGATCCAGCTCACATGCCCAATTTCCTTAAAGAAAAACAATCCCATTTGTATGTCTTATTCTAGAAGAAAGGTTGTTCCACTCGTGCCTCTTGTAAACCTGTATATTAACACTCTTCAAATACAAAGTATGTCTAAACCTTAAAAGAAAATCTGATAAAGTGTTCCCCTTCTTGTTTGTTTTTCTTTCTTTTACCTGGACTTATATGATTATTAATTTATATCTAGAGCACACTCAGACACAAAGAATTTCTTATACAATTGTACAACAATTTTTAGGCAAGATTGGTTTGCTTTACTTTGAGACTAGTTACACTATGCTATCATCAACACATGACATAAATAAAACACAGTTAAAAATCTTCAGGAAAAATAGTCATATTAGCCAGGAAATCCACGACAGAGCTATTACTATGTTCAGCAAGCAATCCCTAGAAAGACTAACGGATACTAGGAATGCTCTTTCAGGTGTATCCCTCCATTGTGGTGGCTCACCCTGGAAAGATGATTGTTTCAGTAGGAGCTGTGAGCCTTGGTGAGGGAGCAGGACCACGGAGGGGTCACTGCAGAGCTTTGGGTGCAGCCAAAGGGAGGGCACACGCTCCGCTCCCCACGGTGTCCTGTGATACGGAGCCCATGTACACGCAATGACAAAAGCACAGCAATTATAGGCCATTGACGTCAGCGAGTCCTAGAGATCTCTGTTTTGTAACAGGAACCTCATTAGAAGCTAAAAATGTGTCCGCATACTTGATACAGCTGTAACATAGTTTAATTCCAACGGGTTTCCTCCTCACAACAGAAGCGCTATCATAGTACTGACTCCGACGGTGTAAGCCAAAACCATACTTCTCATAGGCTAAAACTGTGCCAAAAGCAAAGACAAAAAAAGGCATGGAAAGGAAGAGTTTCCCAGGCCTGAGCAGGTTCTTTTATCAGTGTGTTATTTGTAAATAAGGAGAAAAAGGAAAAAGAAGAAAGTTCTCCCTTTCTGTTAGCTCTCAGGGTGTTTTGTCTTACTGCTTTTTTCACACGTTGAATTATTTTGACTCTGATGCTTCTGATTTAGGAGATGCTTTTGCAAAACTCTTTGGATACCCTCCATGTTCTGCAACAATAGTATCTTTAGGATTACAGGAGTCAATCCATTCAAGCTAAATCCTAAATGCATGTCAGTTCTGGGTCTGGATCCAGCTATCTGTCAGCAGGAGGACCTCCCAGAGAGGTGCCCAGGAAGTTCTAAAAAACTCAGAATCTGCAGCATAGAACTTTAGTGTCTGAAAATGAGCTCAGAGTCCCAGATGTTTTGGGATTTCAAAGGTTTACATTTTGAACAATTCCCTAATGATAAAGCCCTTCATTTTGGACTTCTGAGCCCAAGACATACATCAAACCAAATACATACAGCTAGTGGGCATGTTCAACATTCCAGGCATTGGTGAGCACAAATACTCTCAGGGCCTGCACCTTTAATTACACAGCTCTGATTTGCCTCACCTGGCTTAAATCCTCTCAAAGCAAGAAATTTATTCTAAGCTTGTTCTCCAGATTTCTTGAAAAGTAGGTGATGAACGGTACATGCCAGAATCTTCTTTTATTCTCTGTTAAGTATAGAAAGAGAATAGACAACTAACACAGCCTAGAGGTCTGATTTTAAAACATGTCTCTCTTTGCAAGGAAAAGTAAGTGACCAGATGACATACACCACAGGATTATGAGGAAAGACAAGGAGAGGGAAAACACTGACTAGGAAATGGGCTACTGCCTCAGAGCAAAAATAGTTTTACTTTGAGAAGAATTCTGTTCTCTGTTGCAGAAGAATTAAGATTTTACTCTTGTATATTACTTGCCAAAAGCAGTCTTCATCACAGAAAATAGCAACACTTCAACTTGAATCACAGTTTGCTTAAATTCATGCAAAAATATAACATTATATCAATGTAATTGAACTTACAAGCTTTTTCTCTGTCATATCATGGGAACAATTGTTCAAAGGGAAGAAATTATGAGAGTATAGAATTAAGAGTACTACACATTTTTTAAGACAGTGAATGAGCTCCAGCAATTGAAAAGTGCCTTGGAGATATTGGGACAAAGCAGACAGAAAGAAAAGCCCTTAGTAGTCTCCCCAGGGAAATTTACATAGGATTCAGAGTAGCCTGCTGATAATTTGGTGTTTCTTAAATGTCTTTATTCCATCATTATCTCTTTTCAAACAGAAAATTCCCCATGCCTCACTGCAATGTATGCAGTGAGCGTTCATTGCAAATCTTTCCTTTTTACTGTTAGGCTGTATTTTCCCTTACAAAACAAAGCTCTGAGCAGTTCTGGGTCTGGGACAGTGGAGAAATTGGCAAAGAGGTTTGCTTCATTTCAGATTTTTCCCATGGCTCTTGTGGAAAGTCAGGCCATCAGTTTTCTTGAGGCAAAGATGAAGACTCTTAAGAGAATTAATTTCCCTTGCCTAATGTCTCAATTCCTGAGCTGTGTGGGGTCAAGAGTTGTGGAGACACTCTGTGCACTCACTCCCCTCTGCAACTCAGTAGTGACCTCTCCAGCTGAAAGAGGGGTGGTGTCAGGACTAGCTCCTCCAAGGCAAGTCACCAGCCTGCCTCGCCTTGACCTCTAAAAGCAGGACTTCAGAAATGCTTCAAGTCATCCTGGGGCCTGTGGGACTCTCTCTGGGGCAGCCCCCTTCTCATTATCTTGTCTCCTGTCTTTTTCTATACCAGATCATTTTCTGCTGAAGCTTACATTCATCACTGAACCAAAGGACTTACTGGGTTTATTGTGGTCTGGTCTTTGGGCTTTTTTTTTTAATCCAGTTCATATTCAGTATCACTCCAATTACGGAAATGAAGAACATTTTTAAAACAATAAGTGATGACTTCCTGTACAAACAATATCAACTTTCCTGATTTGGATTCTGTGTTTGTAAATAGCAACTATTTGTTCTCATCTGCAGCATGCTAAGACATGGGAAACAGGCACCTTGGAGATCCACATGGAGCTAATATGGGAAATGGACTGACACAACGTCCTGTCACAGGAAACAATACAAGACTAGGAGGGACCCAAATTTCACAAATGTTTATTTCCTAAACACCCACGAATAAATGCAGAGTAAAGCTAGACTCAGGAAAGAGAGTCTTCACAGAGGATTTTGTTACCCCCACCACAACCCCACTTGAGCTAGAATAATTGAATTTCACGCATATTTACAGAAACAGTGACCCATATTAAGAGACAGGTAGAAAAGAGATAGGGATAATGAGGTAGCATAGAGAAAGAAAATACTTTTTCTAATACATACTGATCAGAAAGGGTGAGTTTTGGTACTCAGTATCTTGTTTCTTTTTAACTTACTAAACAATTCTTCCTGAAATTGTAAAGTTTGGGAAGGCTAATGGACCTTTCTCCACTTTAGTGCAGAGTGACACTTCCAACAGGCATCAAATGAGCAGCTACCTTGCAGCCTCAGTCATCATCCAATTTTCCCTAAATTTCAGGTGTGCTTCCTGGACACAACTAACGCTTCAATCTTAAGAAATTTGTTTTCAATCAAAATGATTGCCAAATTCAGAAAATTAACATGCCAGAGAGGTCTAAGGTAATGGACCTTAGACGGTTAAAATGTTTAAGGAACAGGTTTGTACCTTAAACATTTTATTTCTTTTTTGGCAATTAAGGTAGGAGGAGTTACAAAATCTAGCCATCTTTTCAACAGTGACATCAAGATTTGTGACTGAATGCCCTTGAAAAACCAACAAAACCGAGACACTCAGACAGCCTTCTTTAAATGATTAGTGGGGATGGAAGGACAGGGGTTGGCTTGGGACTGTCCTGAAACAATTTCTGCAATGATACATTTCTCTTCCATCACCATGGGAATTCTACAGATAATCTTGGTTTACAATCACCTGACTGAAGGTGCCTTTTAAATGCAGGGAAGCCACATACAAGTTGGGAAGCAGTGAAGAGTTGGAAGACTGGTTGTGTCTCTCATTGGTAAAATTTAGGATACAGAAAAATTAACTCTTCAAACAGGTAAGGGACAAAGAGAATGCAAAGGCATCCCTTATATGGTAAAGTCAGTTTAGCAGAGAGTTCCTTCTCATGCAGTGAATGGAGAGCCTTGTGGGTAGGTCTCAGGGATGATGTCCAAGGTGGGAAGTTTAAGCAGGTCCCGTGATGGGAAACTTGCAAAAGGCATCTGAGGAAATTGTACATTTCCCTAGGCTGCAGGCTGTTGATCACTAAATGACTATCCTGTTTCGGCTATTCTTCCGAGGATGCATCTGTTGTTGGATTTACAGAGAATCATATGAAAAGAGCTGGGTGATGAAAACACTGCAGCATATTTCAGATGAAGGAAAGTAGGATAAACAGCATAAACAGCCAACAGTATTCAATAAAGCAGCACACAGCAATGGGGAGAGCTATCTTGTTTTCTAACAGTGTAGGGAGAGGTCCGCTTCATTCTGCTTTTTCACAGTGCCGGTCTCACTCTTCATATCACAAAATGAAAACAAAGGCTAATTCACTCCGATGTGAACTCATTGGATGCAGCAGACCCAAAATTTGGAAAACTTCCAGTTGCACGTTCTCTGTAACATGGGCTTACAAAACCTGTGAGTCCTGAAATACTACAGCAATCTATTAACATTACTGTGTAAAAATAATGAAAAACTAAAGTATTAATTAAATCCCTAAAGTGTCAATAATTTGTTCTTTATTGTTGTGTCTACTGAATTACACTCTTCTCAGAAGTGTCTGATTAATACCCTGGAAGGAAGCAGGATCAGAAAGAAATTTCTTTTGTAGTCTAACTGACCTAATTCCAACACTTCCCATACATTACACAATACTTGTTTGCTGAACACAACTCTGTGTTTAATTTGATTCCATTTATTCTAGATTTTTTCAATCTGTGTGCCATGGATTACAGAGGTTATTTTTAAATATGATTTCACATGCAAATAGTAATTTTCTGCAGGATGAGGCAAGTCACTGATCTGACAGGCAGCTTTAGCATCCTTCAGCTGCCTAGAAATAACATCACATAGGATATGGTTTCTGATTCCTATTTCACATATTCACTTGTAGTCTACTTCCATCTGGACTCCCATTTTCTCTATGCAAATGGTTGGATTGGGTCTTTTTCTTGCTTCATTTTTTTTCTAACTGATAAAAGATTACCATTTGTATCTGCAAGTTCTGAGAAAGAAGATTTTATACATTAATTGGCAAATTAATATTATGCAAGGCTGAAAATGTCATTCAAAACTCAGCCCCAGCTGAACTGCCTTACTTTTCCACTTTGCTGTATTGCAGAGCAAGTACCAGGAAGTGTTAAAAAACCTGAATCTTACCGTTAATAAATACATAGACTGTAGATTCCTTCTTCTTTTTTGCTGGACTTGTGGGGTATTTGCAGCTATAATTTCCAGTGTCACTTGCTTGAGTTCTGCTCAAGGTCAGACTGCTGCAGGACTGCTTCCCATTCCTTCCACAGGCATATTTAATTACTTTCAGCCTTTTGCTATCCTTGCTAAGAGTTTCAGGCAAAGACCATGAATGAACCATTTCCCCCCTGCAAACACAGATAAGGAAGCAGAAACAATTATGCTGGGCTGCAATTATATAGCTCCAGTTCCCAAGCTTTCTTTTTTATTATATCAGGCTATTTATGGGGTTCTCTTTTATCTTGTTTTCCAAAAACAACAACAGAAACAACAAAGAACTATTAAACAATTGCCATTGAAGTTCACTCCCCACCTTTCCCCACAACACAAGGTTTAATTTTTTTCTAATTTCAGTTACAAAAAAAAGAAAGTGTCAGGTGTATGAAGTCCCTGCCAAATTATCATAATCCAGCTCAGCTGGTTACCTGCAGGTGAGATTTAAAGTCTGGCCGGCTTGAACAACGTGCTGTATGCCATTTATACTCAGCTCAGGAACTTTTAGTTTTGATGCTGAACTAGATCCTAGAAAAACAAAGAAAAAAACCAAAACATTAACAAAGCCAAATAATTCTGCTTCCAGTCCACTCACATTTATGCTGTTATACTGGAAAGGAAAAGAAAAGAAAACTGTGCCTCTCTCACCACACATACTCTCTTCCTTTGAGCAAAGTCCTGTTGCCCTGACTCAGGACTCAAATAACCTTCCAGCAGCATTACTCAGGAAAGAAAATAGAATTGAAAGCTATTAGTAATGACTTTGCTCTCAAATTTTTGACTGAACATGAATAAACTTGAAGGACCTCATGGATCCACATCTAACCAAGGAAGTGTGCCCCCAGCACCACTGGCTGCATTTCCTCAGGAAATACAGCCATGGCAGCCCCTTCAATGGGAAGGATAAATTCAGCCACTCCCATGGCAAGGGCCACGTACTGACTCCTAAGATACCAAAATCCCACTCAAACAACTTGCTGCAAGGCTGAAACTGACGTGGAAGGAGTGAAATGCATCAAGGCTCTTCCCCTTCTGGCTGGAGGTGACAGCACTCTTACTCATGGCCCCTCACCAGCTGCAGGCTTCCTGTCAACAAAGTAGCACCAAAAGGTAGACCTTTACAGTAAATCCTGTGAACAAGATCCAGACACCTTCCAGACCAGATTTGCTGCTTGTTTGAGAAAGCAAGCATGTTGGTGTGGCCAGGCCATTCTGGCATAGGTGAAAACCTTGGTGTCAGCATACAAGAGGTGGCTGAGGACAGCTGAAAACATCCAGGTGGGCTTTGTGAAGTCTACATGGAGGCATTTTTAAGAAGACCATAGAAAAGCCCCGTGGTCATAAAACCAGAAGAGCATGAGATCTTCCATCTCATCAAGTCAGGAGGTGCTGGCTGGAAAGACAATGATTTATCTTTGCCCTATAATAGGCTGTGGCCACAAAAGCTTTCATGGCAAGCTGACAGAAGAACATGCCTTAGGGAAGAAGCAGTGCTTGATCCATCCCACTGCCCTTGCACTGACAGCAAAATGTTCCAGAAGCTGGGAACACAATGTAAAAACATTTCAAAACAGTTAAAAGTTGAAAACCAGTTGTAGTCTAATTGGGACTCAAGCGTAATTTGTAAATATTTCATTGTTGAGAGAGAGCAACAGCAACTATCACAAACCACTTTACTCCAAGAGAAAGTATTACCCTGTCAACAAATGGGAGAAACCCCATCTCCAAGTAAAGGCAGTTAATGCAGATCTTTCTCCTAGAACTCAGAAGAAGTACAGTTTTAGCTTAGCTATTTTAAGTCCTTCCAAGAGGTCCCTGCACAGCCAAGTATGAACAGCTGTATGCACCAAACATAGTAGAAATACATGAACTGTTCTTGGGGCTACGTATCACCAATCAGAAAAGCTTCCCTGTTTTGTTGACTAGAGAATGAACTTTTGGACACCAGTTCCTGCTGAGATTGGTGACTAAAATTTAGATGAATAAACACATCAAAGCCAATGGCTGCTCCAAATTCGGGACCTTTCTTTTTAGCCCTGGATATCTTACTTAAGATGTGGCTCCTGTAGTTTTTGATATATTCTATCATCTCTGCCAATTCAAAACAAGATTTAAAGGCTACACTTGAACATAGACATAAATAAAATTATAGCTCACTTGCACAAGCTGTAAGCAAGAGCATAACAGCTTTTCAGAATAAAGAGATCTGGACTGCACCTCAAATAACACTATAGATTTGAATGGTGAGACTGTCCACATACACAGACTTCCTCTGCGATTTGTCTAGATAATCATATTTCTAACTAGAAATTAATATATTCTAGCAGCTGGTAAGAGAGAAGAAAAATGGTGCAGCAAATCTATGAAGAAGTAATTGTTGTGTGATATGCATTGCAAACATACATTTCTCAGGCCTGCCCTTTAGGAATCTCAGCTCTGAAGAGCTGGTCCCCCCAAAGCGTGCTCTGTGGTTTTATGGGATAGTATCCCATAGATGCTTACAGTCTATGAGTCTTCTCATTCACCATTCTGAAACAATGCCTCTGAGGCTAATCACTGAGAAATTGAGATAAGATGTTACAACAGCCTAGGCAACTGCTTGGAGAGCAACCCAGGCACTCTGGTTGAGAGGGTTTGTCAACATCCTCTAGCTAAACAATCTGATGGTTTTGTGAAACTCCCACATTCCCTCATTTCATTTGCATTCCTCTTGTCATCTCAGAATTGAAGGGTCGATTCTGAAGGGTCAACTCTGTCTTCTTGGCTCTCCCAAGAAGACAGAGTTTATATCCAGCTTTATGAATCTTGGGTTTTACTTTGGGGAAAAGTTGACCTCAAGCTTCTCTGAACTGCTCCTTATTTGAGGCCCTGGAAAAGCTGAAAGCATGCAACAGTGTTTACAAGCAGTTCAATATGTATGAAAAAAACATCAGTGATTGTCTGCCAGAGGAAACCATTGGGATCAAAGCCCAGTTGCTAGAGCTGCAACACTCAACCTAGTTGCTAGAGAGCAACATGCAGGTTGCTTCCTGTGTAAAACTGGTGAGAAAGTGGAAAAATCCATGTGAGTGACAGGCGTTGACAGCAAGACAGGAGAGTGAGTCTGCAGTGCCTGGTCATGCCTGCGGTGCCGAGCGCTTGGTTTTGCTCAGCACTGGCGCTGCACCACGCCCAGGAGCAAAGCCAATCCTGCAGCACCCTGCCCACGTCTGACCCGTGCTGAGGCCAGGAGACCAGCCCTGGCAGTGTGGGCTGCTGCTGTCTTCAAAGTCTGCCAGAGGTGAGGAGCAAGAAACCATCATATAGGTTACAAGGTTTTACTCTTCCTAACTTTGCAGTGATATAAACAAAGGCATGAACGCTCTAACTCATTTGAAGCATATGAAAAAAGTCAACCTGGAAGCCTGTAAGTCAGATCTTTCTCAGAGTTACTAAAATCAAAGAAAAAACATAACAAAACTACCCACCTTTTCACCCCATCTTGTAGGCAAAAAAGAAACCCAAATATACGGGACACATACTCACAAGCTTTTGCCCTTTTACACATTTTACGTATATCTAAAAGACAGCACAGTATTTATAAATATTGTGTGTGGGATCTTAAGGAGTGCTTAGTGTTTGTCTAACTCTGCTCCCACTGACACAAGCCAGCATTTCATCATTGATTTCAAGTACATTTTAGACACTTAACTCCAGTAGCTAATCGTATTCACATTCAAGACTTAATGTCAGTGTATTTGGGAAGAGATACAAGCCTGGTTATATATTCATTTATTTAGTTTTTCACTGACAAAAAGCTGAGGTTTCATTTCAAGCCAAAATTGTTGGTTTTACAAGTATGGGACACAATGCTTTTACCAGCAAGATGCTATGTCTCGAAGAAAAATAGCTTTATTTGACATCCTATCTATTCATGGGTCATTAGCTTCCTTACGTTTTTAAATGTTTCAAAACCAATGCAGAGTACAAATGCAATAGAGTTTGACGTGTTTACCAGGAAAGAAAAAGGAAGGAGAATAGCAGAGAAATTCCTACTGTCAATATTTAGAAGCAGATTATGCCTTCTATGTACCTTCTGTGGGCATTTTACTTGACACTGCCTTTTCTGAAGGGTCATGGCTCAACAGGACACATTCACTTATCATTGTGCCTGTCACCAAGCGACCATCAGCAGCCTACCCTCACACTGACCTACATTGAGGGGTGCAGCTTCTTTTCATGTGACAACAAGAGAACTAATTAATCCTGATAACTGAGGAATCTCCTCCCATGGGGAAAGGGTGGCTTTTTCAGACGCATTTTATTTGTTATGGAAGGCTTATTAGATGCATGTGAAAGTCAGTCAGTGGGGTTGCTTAATTAATGAGCAAACGTTAATTTAGATTGCAAAAGTTAGCCATTCTAACTAAAGTAAGGGGAGGACATTTTTTTTTTATGAAAGCAGAGAGCAATCTGTGATTTTCAAGGGGAAAAAAATAAAGGAAGTTTTCGTCCATTAACTTCTGCCCCACAAAAAAAGTTGATCCTCTTCCAAATTAAGTAAATAAAAATATGAATTATCTGATAACAAAAAACCCCTCTGATCCCAAGTCATGAAAAAAAGATAAAAGATAAAGCCTTTGAGGGTTTTACCATCAAAAATAATTTCCTCGTGATTCAAATGTTCAACAAAAATGTGCTTTGTAGAGGACACTCCTGCACTGGAAGGAGAGGGCAGGTTATTTCTTAACAAGGTCTCCACCCCTCTGTGATGCTTAAAACATTGGTCATGCAGTTCAGATGCAGCCCAGGACTTCACTCTTGCTTCTGTGCACTTCCTATGAGTCATTCCACTGAAGGGAATGGGAATGCCCACATGTGTACAACTAAAAAGCAGTTGCAGAATCCAGACAAAATGGAAAGATACATGACAGTACCCAGTGGGTTGATCTTCAGCGTGTCTCCAGTGAAAATGAGCTCTCTCTGCCTTGCAGCAGTGCCTTAACCAGAGCATGGCCACTAGCTAACCTCAAATGCAGTATATGGCTTTACTCCATTATGCAAGGAAATCTGGGGTATCAGTAGTTTTCTTTCATTCGGAGCTATTCTTGACAAGTTATTGTATTACTATTTCTTTAAAAGGTTCTTCAATCTATTCTCTAAGTAAATATAACTATTTTTTTTTGGTCAAACAGTTGTACCTACCCATCATAATTGCAATTACATCATTACACCACTTCACTCTATTAAAGAAGAAAAAGGTATATAAAGAGATGAAAAACTCATGGTCAACTCTTAAGAGACACCTAAAGTTTCAATTTACATCTGACTATATGAAGAAGTCTAGACCAGTTTAATCAACACTGAGTCTCTCTTCAGCATTAATACTTGCATTTATAAAGACAGGAGAACTTTTAGGGACTGTTGTTTTAAAACTTGTGTGGTGACTGAAAAGGAAAATTTTGCTTTCCTGTTCGATGTGTAACTGTCTGTCCTGGTCCTGCTGCAGGACTAGAGGGAGAAAGGAGCACCCTGGATAATGAAGCTTT